GCACCAGGGAGCAGAGAGAGCTCTGCTCACCAGGGACAGGACAGAGACCCCCAAGGCACAGCTCAGGGACCCCCTCCTCCAGCCACACCCCACCTGCCTACAGTTATCAATTAATCCATTTAAGTGGATTAATCCACTTATTAAGCTACAGCTCTCATGATCTTGACTTTTGGGGAGCTACCTCCTAATCCAAACCATGACACTGTCTTCTTTCTCTCTCTCCATCCTGGGGCAGGGCTTTTCCTCTTGATTAAAAATTTCACTCTGAAAGACGGTGGAAGGAGATGGACACCATCAGCCCTCGGTGCCCGAGTGACCGCCCGTACGGTGCGAGGCTACCTCGGGGACAACCGTAGACACGTAAAGTTGATTTTTTTCAGTCTATTTTTAAATTTTTTTTTATTATTATGATGATTCTAATTATTGGGATTGAATCCAGGGGTGCTCTACCACTGAGCTACACCCCCATCCATTTTTATTTTCAGACAGAGTCTGGCGAAGTGGCTGAGGCTGGCCTCACGCCTGCCGTCCTCCTTCCTCAGCCTCCCAGGTTGCTGGGATCCCACCATATCCAGCTTCACTCTTTTCTTCATTGGACTCAGTGGACTGCACCCATTTTTAACATACTATTATTTCTCTATTTTTTTGTATTTTGTCTCTTTTTTTTCTCCTGGGCTCCCAGATGACTCCCCCTCCCCCCTTTTCGGGAAGTTATTCGAACAGCGGGCAGGGAGTGAAACGTGCCATGGCTGCCCGCTCCACTGTCTGTGACCAGTTATGATCCATTTTGTGTTGCTATCACAAAATACCTGAGGCCGGGTGAAGTAGAAAGAAAAAAGGTAGACCCCAGGATTCTGATGGTTGGAAGGCCATAACGGCATTCCTCGGGCTGTGGTAAGGGCCACCCAGCTGTGTTACAATATGGCGGAGAAGGAGGAMGGTARRGGCCAYCCAGYTGYGTTACAATATGGCGGAGAAGGAGGACGGTAACCACCCACATTCAGGAGGTACTAGGAGTGTGGTGCACGGCACAGCCTCCCTGGACAGCAACCCACTCTCATGAGACCTAATTCCGTCATAGTGGATGGACACCGTCCCCTTGGGACACCATTAATCCCACCTCTTCGAGGTCCCACCACCTCAATCCCGTTAATCTTCCAGCAAACTATCTTCAAACCACCGTCCTGTCCGACAAGTCTCTGGGCGCCATCCATTCCCTGGCGCCATTTTGAAACCGACCCAAGTTGAGAACCCGGCAGCTGGGCACCTCCAGGACCCTCATTCCGGAGACCACACGTGCAAGCCGTGGCCGACCTGGAGGGCAGTGACCAGCTCAAGAGATTTAGGGCTTTAGGAGCCATCAAGGGAGCTAAGAATAGAATCGTACCGAAAGCCACCAAATCGCCAACCCCCCTGCCGCGGTCTCCATGAGTCCATCTAATCCTCCATCGAGGTTCAAGAGCGCAACCGACTGTCTCCCTAGAGCCACGGACGTTAGGTCGTTGGTGGCTGCAGAAAAAGACACTCGGCTCTGTAGGGATTTCACAGACGTGATTATGTCACAAAGTCCCCGGGGATTTAGGCGGTGGCTTCGTGCACTCTGGTCCTTTTGTGCCGAGAAGGAAAATCCCACGGAATTTAGGGCTTCGTCATCGTCTTACCGAGGCACGAGGATCTGCTTAGTCACAGAGCCTGACAGATAAGTCCCCGGACCAGCGCTCTCGGGGATGAGACCCAAAGGGGTCACCAGACAAGCACCGTCACGTTTCCGGGAAGGGGGACAGCTCGTCCTTTTCGATGGCTTTTCTCCTCGGGGTTTGGAACAAGGAGGACTCACGCTACGTGCCCCCAGCACTGGGTCCCCGCTATGGTTGGCATTTTGGGTGTCCTCCAAAGAGCTCCCGGGTTAGGCAGCCCAGGAGAGCTCAGAGGTGACATGACTGGACGGTGAGAGCTGTCCCCTCCTCAGTGCGTTTGATGGGTTCAGAATTCGAAGGCACAACTGGGAGAAGGTGGAGACCAGAGGCCGGTGGGTCATAGTTGGAGGAAGTAGGTCGCTGGGAACATGCTCTKAGGGACTATATCTTGTCCCTGGCTTTTTGGGAGACTATACCATGTCCCTGGCTTCTCCCTGTCCCCTCTTTCTGTCCCCCCTCGTCTCTCCGGCTACCAAGAGCTGAGCAAAGTTCTCGTCATGTGTCTTGGGTACAATGACACGAAGCTGACTGGTGCATGAGACCCACCGATGGGGCTGGGTGGTGGGTTGGCGTGATTCATGAGCTGCAGACGTGATGATCCATGGGCCCGTGCTGGCATCCTGAAGAGATGGRGCCCCGGGGAGGTGATTAGGGCCTTTTGTCACCCTCTGTGGTCATTCCCTACCACGATGCCATCTGCCATGTGGTGGTGTAGCCAGTAGGTCCCCACCAGAGGTGAGTGGGTGCTCAGGGACCTTCAGAACGATGAGCTAAGAACCCTTTTTCCTTTAGGAGCACTCGTCTTCAGGTATTGTGTGATAGCAACACAAAACASACAAATGGATCCACTGGATGACGTTCTCTTGGACGAGACGCTGGGGTGACAAGATACTCGGGTGGCAATTTCCCKTCCTTCTGATGATCTTCTCTAGCGTCCTGAGGTCTAGGAGACGTCACTTTACCACTGTGCTTCCATTGAATGGGCGTGGCGGATGGAAAGGGCCCGTATTTTTTTTTTCTTTCTGGATTAATTATTGTCACCCTGTCCTTCACAGAGAGTTGCTGGTCTTCATTCGATGTCATCGGGTGTCCTGCTCTCGCGGGACAGCGCTGATGTAACTCAGCTCCGCCATTTTGATGGTACTGATAGGGCTCTTGGGTCCACCCATTCTATGAGAATTATYAACACCGTTCCTCCTAATTCTGGTTAAAAATGTTAACAAGTGGAAGTATTTCGAGGTATTTGGGGCCACATTCCACTGTAAGACTGTGTGCCCAAATGGTCCAAGCATGGGGTGGCTGCCATCTTGGATCCCGTTACTCAAAGG